CATACATAGGTAAGGTAAGGACAGACGGCCTGCCGTACACACTGGCGCCATCTTCAGCCAGATTAAATGTAATGATTTTATTAGTTGACTTTAACTGATGCTTTTATCAGAATGAATCAGAGATTATTTTAGTCTTTCACAATCTGCAGCATAAGACATTCAATGACATTCATACAGTCTTTTAACTTCTATAGTAAAATATTAACTAATGAGATGCAAAAATAAAAAAACTGCTCCAAGTTGCTCCGACCTGCTGGATTGATGGGCATGTTTGTATCTGCATGTGTTTGGTTCCATCTGCTTTGTTAATCCAGTGCAGATATAAAACAAATACTTGAAAACAGTAAAGTTCTACTGCTTTTTGAACTATTTGTGTGTGTGCATGTCAACATATTCAACAAAATGAGTCTATTATGTTCCTGGTGTTGCATTGGATTTGGTCCCAATGCATACCTGACCTTGTAATTATAGCTGCATGTCTGTCCCATGCTTTGATTCCACATTTCCTAAGGACTGCATATGTAATAAAGACAAAAAAAAATCTTAACAAAAGTGTTTTTAAAAAACTCCATCATTAAAGATTATACCTCAAAGCAATATGTAACTGCATATGAGGAATCTGCTGTTTCAGTCACAAGAAAAGTATTTTTAGTCGCATCAAACTGGCAACAAAAACAAACTTTGAGTCATTTTTGCTTCCTAAAACCCTGAAATAAAAATTTTGATCATGAGCTGTGCAAAGCAAAGCAATGAAGAGCCTGGATCTGAATATTTCACAGTCATGTTAATTTACTTTTGAAATAATGCAAAGCAGAAGTTGACAAAATTATTCTGTGTGTTCCCAGTCCAAGATTAAATATTTAGACTTTATTTCAATTTTGGTGCTCCAGCAAAGAAACAAATAACCAATAGTTACTGTAATGAATGCATGCATTCAAATTCTACATTTTTTAATACTTTATTTACTCTGATGGCAGCCAAACATGACTGTTATCGATGTTCTTGGTGCATATAATGTATCCGTGCTCAGAAGCTGGATTAATAAAAGTCAAATTTATCTTAATCTCTCGTGATAATCTGCTGTGTTATCTCTTTGTGCAATGATGTAAGCCACAGCAACATATTTCCATGTTTGATCATATTACTTCTTGCTAAAAAAAAAGAATAAAACAAGGATTTGAATGTCTGAAGCATTTTGGGCCCTCAACACACTTTCTAATTAGATTAATTAAAGTTACAAGATGTTTGATGCCAGGGATGACCTGTGGCTGTGTGCGAACACTTCAATAAAGGGGAAAAAAAAAATCCACACATTTTTAATGTATGCATACATAAAAATAAAAGGAGAAAAGAGCTTTCAATGATATGTCAGTATTTCCTTACTGTTCACTTAACCCCCTGTTGATCATTTCCTATGGTTGCTAATAACTATGCATGCATGTGCGACGCTGCCTGCATACTGATTCTGCAGGTGCAACAAGCCCTTTACAGTGAGAGGAGAAAAGGGAGCCAAGACTAAACACAGTTGCAGCAATGATTTAACACAACTTCTTTCACGGCTTATTAGCTTTTTCACTAGATGAGCAACCCACAGACTGAAAATGCACAAACAGCAAATAAAGCCAAAGCTACGGTTGACTGGTACTTAGTGTCTGTGTTCAGCAGAGAGAATTGGCTGGATCTCTGGTGCACCAATGCAGCTGCATCCAAAAATCTTTTGAACTCCATCCCAGTCACATAAAGCATGTTTGATCCTGAAAAACGCCCCGGCAGTGGTAGAAACATATATGTTGACAGTGCTTGATGTGAAGTCTGTATTGGGTATATAATAGACAGCAAAGCTAGAAATTGCAATAAAATATTCTCCTTTTAAAATTTAAGATGTAAATTTTTTATATGTTTAATTGCACATAACTAAAATATAATAGTCAAAAAGATGGCAGTGATTTTTTTGTTTGCCTGTCTGAGCTTTTCATGGAGTCATACAAAATGCAATTTCCATTGTACTAGATTAAGTTAGTACCAGCTTACTGTGCTAATAGTGGTTCTAGCTTTTAAAGGGTTAGTAATTGCTGGAGAACCCTAAAGAAATTAAACCAAAGCCGAAACATTCAGCATGAATGCAGAGTGAAGCGCAAGAACATTAAAATGCAACCAAATACAGATTACAAGAGAAGGGCAAAAATTCACAATGAGACATGCAGAAAAACATACAAAAGAAACACCACCCTCAGAAAGAGATACGTGGAATTCACAAGCATCAAATAATAATATAAAAACACATATTTGTTATGCTTCTGAACTGAGAATGTGTCTTCACTAGGTTGTGAGTAATGATCAAAAGGGGAGAAATAAAACATGAAGGTAATACATACTGAACTCCACACAAATATGCCCCCACACTTCCGTGGCTTAAAGCTACGTATCTGTATTAATGCAGCGTCTTTCTGACGCTGTGGAAGATTTTAATGCTACTTAGTGTTGAACACATTAAGACTAACAAGATTAACTAACAAGCTCATTAGATTTATATAAACACCTGCTTAGAAATCTGAACGGCTGAACAATTTCTAGATACACTATTATGATAAACATCCATAAAATGTGTTTTGAAGATACACAGAAGCCCTTTCCGTCTGAAACAGACGACATGTTGCTTAAAGTGAGTAGAAGCCACAGCAAAGAGACGTGGTGGAGAAAGACATAAGAAGTGAAAGTGTATGTCTATAAATATATATATACTGTCTGACGGGCAAAGCAAATTGAAACGGGCATTACAAAAGAGAATAAACACAACTAGACAGTGGCGCTGATAAGAAGAACACTAACTCAGACCAATTTCATTCTGTGAAAACTAAAGAAAGCAGACAAAGACAGATAAAAGGAGATAATAGCAGGAGATTATAGTCCATTTTTACATCTGCATCTAAACACACACAAGAAAACCTGAGCTGATCCCTCCTGAAGTCAATAGCGAACAGAAAGAGAGAGATTTAAGACCGGGAGGGAGGGAGCTGATGTTTGTTTAGCCACATGGGCTTAGAGTGTCATAAATTAATAGTTACTGGGTCTGTGACATGTAATTGCTGAGGCTGTTGACAGTGCAAAAACAAAGACTGAATGGAACGTTGACAGAAGAGTGATTATGGCGTTTTCACTTAGATCAAACAAAACCTTATCCTTTTTTCGACTATTTTTGTTAACTTACTTCATGCTTCAAAACATGAAAAGTCAAAGTATTCATTTATAAAGAAACTCATTTGTGTCAGATGTACAATAAGCAAATCACAACTGAATCAAACAACTAAACTAACTAAATGTTAACAAGCACGATCCCAGGTTTATTCCTGCTTTGTTTTAACAAGGTATTCCTTACAAATAAACTTTTCCCAACTCTGGAATAATTACTTTTGAGAACAGCATCAGAAAATTTCCATTCATTTGAATGTTAGAGCCACATCTTGTCCCATTACAATCACACACAGCCTAAATACATATTTGTGGGTGTGTTTTGTGAAATAACACAAAACGGGAAAGAAAGAAAAAATAGTCGATGGGGATTTTTGCTTACAAATAAAAATCAGAAACATGTACTGTGTATTTGCATTTAAACCACCAAATTAATTGTAGGATGATTTCACTGCAACTGCAACTAAATGCTTCTTTTTGCTCAAGCACAGTAGAACTGCATGTTGACTGGGCCATTCAAACATAATGGATATGATTTGATCTATGGCATTCCTTTCTAGTTCTGGTTGTGTGTGTGGAGTGGGTGTAAAGTGAACCTCCACTTAATCCTCAAGTCTTCTGCAGCCTCTAGCAGGTTTTCTTTCAGGGTTTTCCTTTGTTTAGCTCCATACATCTTCATTACCTTTATGTTCCGAGTTATTTGCAAATTCTAAAATTATGGATTCCAAGCCAACTAGTGATGTAAACAAAACAGAAAAAAGTGAAGAGGAAGACATGGCCAAGCTGTCCCCATACCTGAAGGTGTTAACAAAGGCAGTTTATTCACATTTTACTGCATTATCCCCTCACCAACAGGTATGACTGGGAAGGTGTGAAGACAAAAGTCAGTTGTCCTGCTTATCAAGTCAAAAATATACATCATCAAAAGTTTTCCACTTTTATCCCGTTTAAATTGAAGTTTATTGTTGTGCGACAATGTGGAAAACTGCAATGCAAGATATTTAGACGAGGCAATTCTGTTTGCTTTTGATCCTTAAGAGGAAAGTTAAAACTAATAACTCAATGTCTGTGATTTTCAGTCACATCTTTATAAATACACGAGCTCTGTAAGCGAACTGTGCACCATTCAGAACCGCTCTAACGTGTTAACTTTGTGTAATTGAGATTTATGTCCTTCTCTTTCCACTGAAGCGCTTCTCGCACAACAACCGAGCAGCTGCCGCATAAAACATTCAGATGACAAGAAAACACAGGATGTGTGTTTGCGTGTGTGAGAGCGTACCTGTATTCTTCTCGAGTGAACACGGGGATAACAGAGGGCTGAAGCACTGTGATTTCCACCAGAGTCGTGTTCTCTTTCACAGGCTCGCCGTGATCATAGGCCACCACCACCAGCTGTTAGAGACGCATGCAGATGAAGACAGAGTGGGTTATGACTATATAATCCCATATGTTTCCCTCTGGCATATCTATTTTTTCTGCTCGCACCGACTTTCTTCTTTTTCATTTAATTGGTGGTAACTAATGTTAACAAGACCCAAAGGAGAAGCGCTGACTCTAGAAAAAAGTCAACATAAAATCAGAACAGACTTACTTTCATATTGCAGTTTTTACATTTCTATACAATGTTCCTAACTCATAACATTTTGAAAATACATGCACTTGGCTTATGTGGCAGTTAAAAGCTTTGCTCGGTCTCAGCTGATTTAAGTTAGTTATATATATATAATTTGCTCCTGCACAGAGCAGAAGTGCTCAAAGAAACCCAAAACTGAGACACCATTAGCTAATTATTTTATATGCTGTTCAATGAGATTTAGTCACAGCTCTGGAACAATTTTCTTCTTCCTCAGTCTCGATCCAGAACGTAAACACAGCGGTACAAACAAAGTAAAATGACTCATCTTAAGGACATCCTGCATTTCGACTTCAATCAAAGGCCAATCAAATCTAGGTGGACAACCACATCTTAGCAGGTTTGCAATGATAATATTAATTAAATACAAGTTAACTATTTATGGAAAATGAGATTTTATGACGAAAAATACCTCTTCAGTTTCTGATTGCAGTGGGGCAAAATGTAAAATTCAAGGTTGTGAATACTTTTGCAAGTCACTTTTATTTGCTACATAGTATTATTGCTGTATTTCACACTAAAACAGATTTGAATCACGAAGAAATGAATTAAAAAGGGCAAATTTAAGTGTTTCCCATTTGCAACTGACAACCTCAATGTTCCTACCTGTACTAGCGTAATGAAAAAAAAAAAAAAAACACAGCTTATACATATATTTAGTTCAATTCTAAAAAATACATCACTTTAAGCATTTTTTTTTTTTTTTTACAAAAGAGACTGGGGATGTACTCACTCTGAACTTTAAGTTGGGTTCCTCGTTAAGATTTACTCTGGTAACCACATGACCTTTCTCTTCATCTACATCGAATATACTGGCAGAGTATGGATAGGCCTCCTGGTCCACCTTGTAACGAATTAGACCTGCGGGGGTTCCCTGCGAAAAGGAAAAGCAGAGCACGCGTAATGTCGATGGGTTTGCCGTAGATGATTAACTGCCTCTTTCATGCTTAGCCGAACAAATATTTCTTGAAACATAATCTAGCGTTGGAAGAGAAATGGCTTTTGCAGCGGTGCTAAATGTCACGCTGTCCCTAAATTTAAATACTAATGATTGAACATAAAAACACCCAGTACCATTTTGGACACCTGGGGTTCAAGGTTTAATAGTCATAAATTAACCTCCAGAGTGTTAAGGATAACAAGTAGTATGAGTAATTTTGCACAGAATGGTGGGAAATAGAAAAACATTTCACGTCTATGCCGAAGTTTCAACACATGTAGTTCTGCTGATATTTATTTTGTGAGGCAGATTAAAAAAAAGAGTGTTGGAAAAAAATATTGTAAGAGTTTGAAAATGCAAACCAAGTAAGGCAAAATCAAAGCAGACACGCTAAACTGATTGAGCGTGCTATTCTCATTGGCACTTCTGGACAAAAATTCTGACAAACAAGATATGATAAAAAAAGATCAATGTTCAGTTAAATAATATTCAGTAAACTGGAAAAAATGGCATTAATTACGCCACTGAACCTCTCTTGATATCAATACTTCTGCAAATAATTCAGTGTGTGACTTTGCTACAGCAATAAAAGCTAATTTTACAGGAAGACTGACACATTTTACCAATAACTGCATTTAGGCATGTGAAGGATGTTTTAGAAATATCAGCTATATCATAGAGTAGCTTTAAATAAACTGTAAAATGTTCACTCCCATATTAAAGGCACACAGGAATGAATAATAATGTCACACAGCTTCATTTCAATGATTTTATATCAGCCAAATCTATGCTGAAAAATATATTTTGATACATTTTAGCAGCTACACACCGTTTGAAACTGTCTGCCTATAGAAATGAATGAACAATGAATGAAAGTCATTGGAAAGTCCTTGTGCAGATAGAAAGACATACTATGGGTGCTTGTGTGGGTGTGTGTCTTTAAAACACTGTTGAAGAGTGTTAGTGGTGCTACTCAATATGTTTTTTATTACCTAATTTTTCCCACAGAGTGCAAGACGATTAAGGAAAACATCCAGTCAAAGATTCAACTCAATGACATAAAGACAAATTAGCCTTGTAAAACTTTTATCTACTAACTACAGCACTGTGGCATCTAATAAAAGATCTTTATCGCGTGTAACTAGGGGTTACACGCAACAGGTCATTCAGTCATATTCAATCACACTAAATGATTCATGGCAGCGGTTTTATTAATAAAATACACTAAAAACTCATGCAGTTAACGGACACTTGAAGTGACACAATGTACAATTGTTGTGATCCCAACAGAAAATTAAGGCAGCAAATTTTTAGTGCAATGATCATGTTTTGTGACAAAATGTAGGTTTAATATCAGAACAGCACTGGTGAACAGTACAGCTGAGCTGCTTGTTAAACGTCTCCATTAAATGTGTTGCTACCAAAAAAGTTTGAAATGAGTCGACAGAACCTAACAGATGAACAATGAACAAAAAAATTTGCATCAAGATGTGTGTGTGTGTGTATATATATATATATATATATATATATATATATATATATATATATATATATATATATATATATATATATATATATATATATATATATATAAGTAAAAAAATGCTATTAGCACTTCGTTTGGGCCTGAGGGAGTACTTTTAAACCGTAAAACCTGGAGAGTATAATGATGTTTTTTGGCTCAAGAGAATTTACTTTGATGCTTCTACCTGCACTCTGAATCAATTCAGCTGATGAAAGAGGACAGCAAGCACATAAGTCAAAGGAAGTGAAGCTTTTAAAGAGGCACATGGCGAAACATTGCGGGAGAAGATTTTGCTTGCAGATGTGAAAATAAAAAATAAGTTCAGAGACTTGGAAATGCAAAGTAAGGAAACTCTGTGTTTGAGTCTGGCCTTTTTTCATAAACATTTATTCAATAGGTGATTTTAAAACTCACCAAGCGGCTGCTTTCAGGGTTCTATGAAAATTAGGTGTGTTTTTTTTTCCTAAAATGCATTGCATAACACAGATCTGCATTTTAACAAATGAATGTGTAAATCAGAAAAGATAATTTCAAATGATGCGCTGAAACTCATGTTGCAGCTTGTAAACCTTCTAAAGTTTACTTTAGAAAGTTTACAAGCTGCAACATGAGTTTCAGCTGGTTCTTTATTTTACAAGCCAAGTAAGTTTTAGAATGGATGTTTTGGATTAAAAAAAAAAAAAAAAACCCTTGGTTAACAGAACCACTGCTGAGCAGAGGGAAAAAAGAGCAAGGCTCCAAAAGGGAAAAGGATACAAATTCAAAACACACTTTGACGGACTGAAGCTGAGCATCATTATCCCGTATCATTCCATTCCAATGCACAATTTTAAGAGCAAGAGAAGGAAATAGTTTGATTAAATATGAGCAGCTGCAAACACTCACCGCAGGGTCAGAATCGTTGGCCATCACCGTGGTTACAATGGTTCCCTTGGCAGCATTAGGAGCAACCATGCCTCTGTAGACGGGTTGTCTGAATGAGGGAGCAAAGTCATTCATATCCTGGAAAGAGATTCAAGAAAAGCAACACAGACGTGAGAAAACAGTGAATGAAATTTTACAGGGGAATGATGTGAACTTGAACGTTAATAAGTTTTTTGTTTTTTTTTTCAACTGAGTTACCAAATGTCTGACATGTTGTGAAAGTTCTCTGCAGTGAACCGTTGGTTGACTTCAACAAATCACGGCAGCATCACACAATGTTGACAAAAATCTTACAATTATCACCAATTACGAGGACGAAGATGTTCTGATTTTATTAACTAACAACTCTCTACTTCACCCTGGAAAACAAACAAAAAAAACATCCTGTCTATAAAACAAACACAGCTATAGGGATCCTTTGAAAGTCAAAAGACTGGAATGTGTTTGTCTACAATCTACACTGGTTATGTTTGTCATGTCTTGTGATTTTCATTCATTCATCCACTCATTTTTTCATCCACAGACACTTTTTATGTAATGTGAAAGATTTTGTTCTGCATATTCCAAAAGACTTGCATCTATCATTGTAATGTTGTTCCTGAAAGGCATTGGCTCGGGGGTTTAGATTAGGCGTCAATACCGTTTTTCAGATCGATTTGCAAAACACTTCAAAGATTACTATTTTACTTCAACTGTGAAACTTTGTCTTACTTTGCATTGATCAGTGACATAAAAATCCCAGGAAAGTAAATTGAATTTTTTGGTGCATAAAATATTTGATTGGTATGAATATACCTGCAATATTTTTTACATTTTCTATGCATCTGGGCTTCAAGGGCGGTTTTAATCATTTTTATTGTCCAAACCAAAATGGCAGCAATAAAAATATGCAATGATTCTCGGCAAAAGATTACGTATTCCTCTATAACTGTGCAGTCTTAAACCGTGACCTCCCAAACAGGACTGGCATCACAAACTGCATGACAAAATGGAGACATCTTGATTGACAGAACACAAGATACAATCAGAAATACAGAGTACTACCTCTGCTGCCTTGCAACATCCAAAGGAAGGAAACAAAGAGGGACAGCTTGAAGCTGGAGCAGATTGATATTAATGTATGACACTTGTTTCCTCTGAGGGGACGTGCTTCTTTTGACAGAAAATGTGAGGCATTGTCAGTCAGACCTTTTAAACAAATTCAAATCAGCACTCGGTAGTCTGAGCTAGCTCAGCTGTGGTTGTCACTTTAGCAACAAACATACTGGTGGCACTTCTGACCCACAGTTTAGTCTGTCTCATTTCAGGATGCAGCAGCTATGCACCATTTGTCTCACGGTAAAAAAGTCAGTCACAGTCGGACGACAGGGAAACAACGGGGGGTTTTGATCAGTTCCTGACGCCACAAAAAACTCCAAAAAAGCATCAAAACACACGTGGGATCAGTTCTTTTGGGGACGCCTCATGAAGGTGGGGGGGGACTTGGACTGAAGCTCACACAGTCGGGCGATTGGAGAAAAAAAAAGCTTCTCAGATGCTCTTTGATTGGACTTAATGGCTTCAGTGTCTATATGGAATAAAGATGAGACCATGCAATAAAATACATATAGGAGAACCATCGACGGCATTAATGCGTCCTCTGTAAGAACGCATTAGTGGCCATAAAAGTTCTATCAAGATGATTCAACCAGTTCTCTTGCAAGACACTTTAATGAAAAGCACTGTAGCTCCCCTTTACTCTTTATAAACTTTGAGGCCATTAAGTCCAGTCCAAGAGGCGGAAATATTGATTTTATCAGGAGAAAGAGAGAGGCATTCTGGATATTTGATTTAAAGAACCCATATTCCACCGGCACGAATGAGGATCTATCTGTTAATGAGTTTCTGTGAGTGATTCTGCTTTGTAGCTACGATTAATCTTTTTCTCAAACAAATATGTTACTTTTGTGTTGATTATGTCTTTTCACATTATTCATTTAATGTGAAATCATTTGAAATTTTGGGGGTTTTCAGCACCAGTGAGAGAAATGTTTAAATGTACTCAAAATATGCTGTTTAACTTGCCAATGAAATCAGTTCTGTATCATCAGGATATCCCTTACATTAACTGAAAAGCCTAAATGCTGAAATGCAGCAGTGAGAACTTGAACAAAAATATTCACATTTTAGCTCATTTAAAGTCAACCAATCTCAGCTTTATGTTAAAAAAACCCCCCACAGTATTATTTTTCCCCAAATAATGCACTTTGTTCTTAGATGCCTGGGCTACTTTTGGTTTCAAGAGTATTTAAAACCAGAAGTGGAAGCAGAGCTTTCAGTTATCAAACTCCTCTCTTGTGGAACCAGCCTCCAGTTTTAATTAGCAAGCAGATACACTGTCTACTTCACCCCATGCTTTCTGCAGGATGTGGGAAAGCAGTGAAGTCTAGATTAAATGCAATCTGCTGGAGTTCTTAGAGCAGTTTTTTTTTTTTTATTAATTTGCCAGAACTAAAATATTTTTGGAACAAGTTTAAAAAGGCACTTATTGAACAGAAAATAACACTGAATTTGTCTGTAATGAAATTGTTCCTGTTAATTGTATGTAAAATGTCCAGAAAATATGCTTGATAAAGTGAATTAACTATTTTTAGGACACTTAATCTATAATCTATGAATAAAGAGTTTTCTCAGAACTACCATTTGCTGATTAAACTCAACTGTCTTGCTAAAGTATTCTTATGCTTTTAAAACATTTATTTAAGATTTGGGAAGGTATTGACATCCAGTTGTATTCATCCCCTCTAAGTACATTGTAGGATCATCTTTTGTTCCAGTTCCAGTTGCGTTGTGACTTATCTCTCTGAACGCTTCACACATCCAGAAACAGAAAAGATGGCCAATTCATCTTAGCAAAATAGCTGAAGCTCAGTCAGATAGGAAGTTATTTTAAGATATTTTAAAGTCTGACTACAGATCCCCAGCTGAATTTAGGTCTGGACTTTGATCTAGCCAGTTTTGTTGCTGTCTCCAGGTTTCAGGTTGTTTTCCTTCTGGAAGGTAAACTCCACCAGTCTCAAATCGCTTGCACCCTCTGTCAGGGTTTCTTTCAGGGCTGCCCTATGCTAAGATCCATTAATCTTCCCATCAAATGTCTCCTTAGCATATTTCATCATGAGGACGGTGTGTTCAGGGAACCTCCAGTGTTTACTTTTTTGCTAAAAAGAGTTTTGCATCAAGAATAAAACGTTAATTTTTAGTTTGATCTGAGCACCTTCAAACACGTTTGCTATCCCCACCACATATCTCTAAAACTGCAAACTGAACTTCTTATGACTGTCATCCAACAAGGCCTTTCATTTTATTTTCCATTTCAGATTTCTGGACTGCACAGCTTTTAATTTATCCTGTGTTGACACCTACACACTGAACACTACCATTAAAATAAAAATAGAAAACAAAATACTGCTAAAATATCTAGAAGTCTGTGGTTGCAATATGACAAAATGTCTAATAGTTCAAGGGGTCTAAGCCAAGGCCTTGTATGTTCTTGTTTTCTTTACATGTTCCTGTCTTTCAAACTTACTTGCTTTTGGGCTTTGCTTGGACAAAGGAAAAAACACGAGAAACCCACCCCCACACTCACCAGTATTCTGACTGTAACCGAGGCAAGCCCAGGAGGCATTGTTCCCTCCACGTCGACAGCCTCTACGGTGAAAGTGTACATGGGTTCAGAGGCAGCCAGAGCTTCAAAGTCCAGAACCTTAAGAACTGACAGCTCCCCCGTCACAGGGTCAACGCGGAAAAGCCGTGTTATCTCAGGATCCAGGCCTTCAGCTCTGATTCGATATGTGAGGTTGGAGATGAGGTCAGCATCTGTTGCCTTCAGAAAAAAAGAAAATAAAGAAGGTTGAATCACTGCTATGTGATGGTATTTTTATTTTATTTTATTTTTTTTTTGGGCAGGTTAATTTTTAAAACAGTGCTTTTATTAAGCTCTGTGTTTTAGTGGCATATTCAAAGCGCCTGTGGCAGTAAACTTTAATGCTCTTGTGTTCCACCGGTGGTCCATGTCAAATTTCTCTCCTTTTTTTGCAGGTATTTAAATTGGGATGCTTTAGGGAACCCTGGCCTTTTCAATTTTCAATCTTTCAACAAGCCTCACAGTAACTTTGACTTTTACGACGTCGCCAGCGCTGCCTGGAATATGAAATGTAAGCACTTTGGTGAGTTCGTAGAAAATGTAAGAGTTTGATTTGAAGCAACATTATTTTGAGTCTTATGAACTAGATTTATGACTGAGGCATTAATCTTCAGTCAATTCACTTTGAATGTCATGAAGCTGAAAAAGTTTGTTGGATTATTTAGAGCAGCTTTTAGGCAAAGTAAAAATAGTACTAAAAATTTGCAAAAAAATCTTTTTAACATTTTAAGGACGACGTCTTGGTTCTAAAAAGATAATAGCTATATCGAATATGTGTTTATGCTATTCCATATCAAAGCATCACAGAATCATTTACAGAAAGAAAAAATCATTAATGTTACCATCTGACTGGTTGAAAAACTGATTTTTAATTCTGTCAGGGGCCAATAATTTTTAGAAGTTGTTTATAGAAATGTATAATTTGACATTGTGTTCCTTGTATAAATAAATTATGATCAAAAACCTTTGTGATTTTTCCCAAAAGAATCCCCCCTCTCCCAAAAAAAACCCACCCAATAGGGGCCCTTTGACTGTCAAAATCTAAAGTTGCTTTCACAAACTAGTTGATCAAAATTTATTTGATTGATTGATAATTCAAAAGGTAAAATATCCTTTTTATAAGGACTCTTCACTGTTGTAGTTGTCAAGAGGCTCATTTATCTCCCAAAATTGTCCTCTAGACAGATTGCACAGGTCAGTAAGTTATGTGACCTAAACCCCCTAAAAGAATCCAAGGAATATTTCCAAGAGGAAGAGAAGGAAAAAAAAACTGTTCCGAGAATCCAGATGCGCTAAAAGCCGTTAGTAAAAACGGATGGTCTCACAGCCTCGCAGCACTGATGCAGTAATTTGGACAATAAAAACTTGTAGAAGCTGACATTTGTGTATTAAAAGCTTATTTTATGTAAGATTGGCATTTTCAAAGGAGTTTAAGTTTATATTTTCCTTAGCTGCTACACATGAAGTATATCACACTGTGTTTAAATGAAAGTTTCCGCTTTTGAATTGAAAAATACTGAAATATATAAAGATTTCAGTCATTTTCTAATTTATTCAGATGAACTTATACATAATTTATTTTCCCAGCCAAGCCAGAGGCTCACCTTTAACTGTAAAATGACGGTGTCCTCTGGGCTGTTCTCAGGTAGATTGATGTTGTAGGACTGTTGGGAGAAAATCGGGCTGTTGTCGTCCACGTCCAAAACGGACACAGAGAGGGTGAGCCTGGATCGCCGAGGGTCCACTGCACCGTCCGAGGCTTCGACAACCAGGAAATAGTGACCTTTCACCTTGAAGGTTATAGAGTCATGAAGAAAAATTAATACTGCAGCTAAAAAAAAATAAGAGGTGACATCTTTCAATTGTTTTGAATCCAATAGCCATTAAAGTTCACTAAATCTGTGACTTTCTCTGACCTCTCTGTCCAGTGGCACTGCAGTCCTGATGGCTCCAGAGGCATTGATGGAAAACAGCGTCTGGTGGTTGACAAGCCTGTAATGGACCTGACCGTTTGCTCCCAGATCCAGATCTGTTGCCTAAAGCAAGAAAAGAAGAATCAGCAGTTTTGAAGCACTCAGTCTTTAACTTGATCAGGACATAAAATGAAACCTTTAACACAACATGATGTTTTTTAAGTTCTACAAAGTGGAAATTAAACAGATTGCAACTGAAATAAAAACAGCAAATGGAAAATGTCCAGGAATTGAATGAAATCAAGTCATTCCTCTACCAGACTCTTTTATTTACCACTTTTTCTGTGACACTGGCCGCAGTACAAGTATTTGTACAAGTACAAATCGAGTTCCAGCTGCTCTCTTAATGAAATTCTGTAACTATGAATTTCAAACGTAGTAGCAGAAAACCTATAGCTCCTTCACGGTAAAACACGAGAGGTTTTATTTTATGACTCCTTATGATTCTTAAAGCATCATATTTTTAATGTTCCACTTCAGCATCAGTTACAGCCATCAGGGGGGCTTCTGTAGTTCTAACAGAAAAGCTTCAATGCTTTGTCAGGCTTTAACTCGCCTTTTCCTTATTACATTACAAAAAAAAAAAAGGAAACAGCTTTCTAAAAACATTTTGCTTTCTTTTTACATTGGCTTCCTGCTCAAAGAGAATCAATTATTTACGTCTTCAGAGTGCTGTACAGCTGACAAGAAGAGACTATTCCTGCTAATTCTTGGCATGAGTTTAAATCAGAAGGTTTAAAGCTTTGTAAATTTGTAAGACTTGGATTTGCAAACTTGCTGCTGTCATGAAAAAGCAAATTATCTAATCTGAGATCTTGGTAAAAGTCATCCATTAGCTCATGTGTGTTTTGCGAGATCTTTTTTGCAGTTGAACTCCAGCTGAAAAAGATGATTCCATCACCTAACTAAAATACGAAATGTTTTTGTATTTTGCTTCATATGTTTTCCAGTTTATATTCAAATACTCAAAAAAATAAATAAATAAATAAAATAAAATAAAAATTAAAAAAAACATACAATGTTGGCCAAAAGTGTTCAGGCATTCTTACTTTTTGGACAAACAAATTTGATAAAATGGCTTCACAAGTTTGAATTGGGATTTTTGGCATGACTGTCCATACAATCTAAAACACATCCCCAACTAAAATTTTTTTTTTTTTTTAAAAAAAAAAATTTTTTTTTTTTTTTTTTTTTTTTTTTTGCAGTCTAGTAGATTCTAAGTTAAGAATTTTTTTGGGATACAACACATACAATTGATAATAAATTGTTGATGCAGATTCACAACATTAGGCATAATTGGAGACAATGAGTAAGTAGATTATATTACCAATGCTGCAGTTGCTTAACAGGTCTTTGAAATGTAATTACTTCATATGTTTCTGCAAAATATACTAAAATTACAGTATTATAAATACAGCTTTATACTGTGCAATAACAGTGGGACGTTACTTGCTCACTCACTTGACGGCAGCACCATACAATTGTCATTGTACATAGACATGAATCAACAGGTATCCTGGGTGGATTAAGAGAGGACAAAGTTAAGGTGATTTTTGTAAAGATACTCTACAAAGGAATGAAATAAAATTATTTGGAGACATGCTTCTTCCTGTATTATCTGATGCACTAGATGTTGCAACAGTGGCAAAAGCCATTCTCACCATGATGTGACCACTGCCGTACCTGACTGTTGGGTTATTGTACCTGCTAGTTTTTAGAAGCCTCATCTTTACCAGCTCCAACATTTTCAAGCAGCTCAATCTTTGTCCCTTCTTAGTGAAAAACTTTTCACAAAGACACATTTGGTTTATTCATGTCAGTCAAGTTAAAGGAGGGACAAGTCTTGGTGGAGAACTACTCTGTCTGTGTTAATGTTTCACTTGCTTATCTGTAGCCAAAGACGAAAGAAGAAAGATCCTACCCATTTCCCTTTCATCTGACAGTGACAGTTTGGATCAGATGGTTGAAACTTGAACCCAGTTTGGTGTTCCGACAATCTAATAATACCAAACACACATCAAACTTGAGTTTGGACTAGAAAAGTAGGCCAAGAGGAAGCTTGTGGATGGAGTGGCTCTGACCTTGACTCTATTGAAGACTCATAGACAATGTTTAAAAGCTGAGTGTGTGCCAGGAAGCCTGATAATCTAAATGGACTGCACCGCTTCCTGCCAGAAAGGGTGGTCAAGTATCCAGCTAAGTTTAGGCCTGAGCTTCTTAAGGACAAACAAATATTTGATGGGAGATTCAAGTTGGTTAAACTCATTCAACCACAGAAAAAGAAAGGGTGTCGAATGTAGGTCCTACACAGGCTGTGGTGAGTCTACAGCAGGGGTGTCAAACTCAATTTCTCCGAGGGCCACTTCAGCATATTGGCCCCCCTCAACGGGCCACATTGACAGTACAAATCAGGAGAGCATCCCTGCTAAAACACCCCAGACAAAAGGTTGACTTCCCTCATTTAGTTCTGTAGAGCCTTATAATGAGTCAATGGTCCAGGTGTGTTAGAGAAGGAATGCATCTAAAGTTGCAGATGGTAGCTCTGGAAAACTAGACTTGGGCACCCCTAGCATAAATGTATGAAAATACAATGTTAATAATAAATTAAACACCTCATATTGTTAAATAACTGATTTTATGTATTGAAGTTTTAAATATTACATTTGAGTTTCCATGGATGTAAAATTACTGCTCGGTTTAAAAATTACAATATTTAAATCAGTGTTTAAAGGTGAGCAAACAAATAATTACAACAAATCACAGATTTAGTCTCAGAGGCAACTGAAATCAATTAATTTAAAAAATCCTTTCTGAATATCATGGTCTCTGAACTAAATGCGTCTTTCTGACCGGAGCTGACAGCGAGTTGAAGAGTTATGGACCGGACGCTTTGGAGCGTCTGGTTAGGAAGCACATTACAAACCTTTGGTTGAAATGTAGTTTGTAGTCAGTTCATTCTCAAAACCTATTTAAAGTCAATCATCGGCCTATAAAATGCTGGGGGGCCACATGGGCCCCGCGGGCCTTGAGTTTGACATGTGCATTATGCCATAGAACTGCCAATTGGTAATTGAAGTAAAGTAGCTTCGATTTCAAAGAAGCCGACAATGAAGTCGATTAGCAAGTGAACCATCACGAAAGAGGAAGGCTCTTGTCTCACTGCACCCCAAGAGATGCATAACCTACAAAAACTGTTTCTGTCTGGTTTTGAACCAGAGACCTTTTGCGTGTAAAGCAAACAGGATAACCACTACACTACAGGAACTGAACTTCTCTGCTTTGTTTCAGTTTGAGGTTCCAAAGTTGATGATGTGAGATGCAATTCATGAAAATTTCAGCTGAGGTTTGCACTGAGATGCCTGGATTCAGAGTACAGACCATGACACCACTGAACCCTTGTTGACCTTTAGTAAACACCTGTGATGAATAGAACATGCAAAATCTGTTTCTGTCTGGTTTCGAACCAGAGACCTTTTGCGTGTAAAGACAACATGATAACCACCACACTACAGAAACTGAACTTCTCTGCT